GTATGTTACGTACATAAATTGAACAGTATAGGATCATCGTGCATGTTGTTTGTTGGTTTGTTGCGCAATCACTGTTCAATATAATTAAAACAACACACTTCTAGGGAGATTTTGAACTAACTATTGTGCTACTAGTTGTAAGAATAACCTGCAGAATATATTAAGAACTATTCAGTGCTGATTATATCCTAATCAGGATCTTAGTGAGTGTTTCAGTAGATTCTTGCAAATGAGTGATAGTACGTCTGTTTGGTTAGTACACCACCTTAATAGCTATTTATTGAAAAGGTTTTTTAACAATCCCATGGGGAACCTTTCTCTGAATACTCATATTTTGAAAAAAGTAATTGAAATGGAGTAATACCAATTAAACTTGTTAGCTTCTTGTTAGACGTTTTAAGTAAATGATGGCTATCGAGATAAAAGCTTACTGTTATTTCATTCCGATGATTAAAATAAGTAGTTTTTTTGACTGAAATTAATTATCCATACCTTGCTGAATCATTCGCCGACCACTTGTACTCGAATATAGTGCATTCAGAGTTTCAGAGCATTGAGGGGAGCGCTAAATAGTTTTATGATGTGATGTTTTCTTCATTTGTTTAAATTTTTAATTAGGTTCAAGATAAATTAAAGCCATTTCACATAATTCTGAACTCTATCACTATTATTCTACAACAGTGATCATTTTTTGCATTCAAGTCAGCTAAGTTATACCTTGATATCAGAAATAATTAGTTGGATCCATTTCATGATGTTAGAAGTGACAAAATTAAATAACATCAACTCCATATTCTTCATTGTCAACAATATTAAATTCACCTTTAGTCAATAGATGTCATGTTAAGGATTTCGATGAACAGAAATGTTGACATTCCTAATCATCTGAATGAGAGAATATTAAAGGATTATTTTCTCAGTTGTCGAATAAGTATTGAGGACCCCATAATTTGTCAGTCTAGCATTAATTGCCATTGTTTTTCATTAAGAAGAGACATTTTTCCACATATTCTTAGTCTGATGCTATACAAGGAGAGACAAGTAATTTCGACACAGTCGCGTACCATGAAGAACAGATTACAGACTCAATCGATAGAGTTCAGCCATCAGTTACTACACCAAAATCTTACACAACTGATCATAAAATTACCAACCAATGTATCGGATGTTTATCGTTTCTACCAAATTACTAAATTTGAATCCGGTCATAGCGCTTTGCTAAATGTATTACCTAACAGTAAGAACAAAATAAAGCCCAAAGTGTTTGAGTGGCTCAAACAAGCTATCATAAGTAAAAATAGTTGGTGAATGGACCTACGATACTACACCATTAGTTGACTGTTCATCTTAATCTGTCTCATCACGATTATTGGTCAACCAGTCACAGACAGAATACTAAGCGTCTTACACCCATCTCAAAATAAACGTGTTGGATGTTATTCTTTGTGGAGTTGCACTTTGATATCTTCAGTCTTGACAAATTGGTAGTTTGGTGTCTTTCCCTCTTACATTCATATATATCAATCTCAGCTGGTTCACAATCAGTGTAACGAGGAATAACTGTGATATGAACCAGATTACGAACGATGTAACTTTACACCCTAAGATAAAAAAATGTTCTTTACAAGATGATTGATAACTGGCTGCTGATTATGAAGTAAGAGGTTTTAGAAAAATGTATTAACTCTCTTCCCCATTCAATGGTGGATATGTAAGAATTTCCAGATTTAAAAGTAGTTTACATCATAGATTGAAATAAGTTGGAGAACCATTAAAATATCGTGGTTACTTGATACTAATTTCGTCCAAAACTGGGAATTTTCAGTGGTGTACAATGATAAATTCATAAGCAAGAGACCTCAGAACCATCAGGTTTTATTGTGATCATGTTATCATTCAGTCTCTTAGATTTCAATTCGCGATGTAGCACACCTAAGTTCCAGTGTCATCGGTTAGCATCCACCTCACTTCACATTAAACTTCCTATGGTGTGTACGTGTTTTTACTTTGTGCACCGAAGAAAGAATGTTGGTTTTAACACATTCCAAAATCCAATCTAATCTTCAAAATCACTTTGACAATAATTGATAGAAGATAGAATTTCATTTAACACATAAAATTAAAAACGTGAAAGCTTATGTTAAATTATATGCGTTCATGAATTAATTAGTAAGTAACAAGGAACACAAATTCAGTCACTGAGTACATACTTTGTGTTTATGTAAATGAAAGAATTTATGGTATGCTAATAAGTTGGTTGTTTGTTAGCTTTTGAAATCAATTTATAGTACTCTTTCATCAACAAAAGCCTCATGGTAGACAAGTACATGAGCCAAATCGTTTTATTTTCCAAATATTATCTATACGATCAGAGTTTACTTGATTATAATTTCATGTGAGATGAAGGTAAAATATACAGGTATGCCATTACAATTGGGAAGCGTGAACTGTGACGTGATTGAAGAAAGTTTTGATACTTAGAGCTCTATGTAAGTACAGTTTCTGTGCAAATTCAAATCAGCTCTGAATCTTGGAATAATAACACCAACGATTGCTATAGTATTTAGATACTTAACTTTTTATCATTAAGGAAGTGACCAGTTTTCTGTTTTGCGGAATTATGTCAGTCGTTGTCTACTAAATATTCAGTCTATATGGACAGCTGATTTTGCAAAGAGAATAAGGTACAACTGCATTATTTTCCATTGCAATTCTTAAGAACTGAATGGAGATACGTCACAAGAGGACGATGGAGAATCTTGAAACGTTAGTCAGCAGTCTGTCAGGCCGTTTCACCTAGATTACTCATTATTCATGGCGAAGTTAGGCAAATCATTATAACTGAGTCTTCAGCTGCATATAAACTAAAGTTTTATTAACTTCAACAGCCAGCCTACATAAAAAATCAGTTTATTTGTTAGTGGACTTGTTATTGAACGGAATCTGTGTGACAACAGTTGGCATTTAGTTTTGTTGACTGAATTTATTACCTACTCTAACTCATTGTAATACAAATGAAGGGTGAAACAAAAATGTTTTTCCTTTACTGAAAAGGTCCTTGGAACACTAAAAGAAAGTGATTTCCATTCACTTATATATCCTGCTACATTACCGTCAGCATAAGGGACTGAAGTGTACTGCGTGACAATAAATTATATTCTGCTCTACCCCACTGAAGCGAAAACATAGAAGGAAGAAATATTTATGACTTCACCCACTTGACTCCCAATTCAAACGGAAATAATATTCGCATGTAGTGATACAACCAAGTGAGCGATGCACAGGTTGAATGCATAGTATAAACTAAGAGATTAAGTTGAATGGTTGGGTTGAAGACTTAGTTATTAGATTCGCGTAACCAGCATCTCCTACAATCCATAATGACGGCTGGAATTGAATTTGGTTACAAAAAGTTTAACAGAAGCTAAACAATGAAGTAACTTGCAGTTGGTATAATCTGTGAAGTAACGTTCATGATACCTGTTTAGTATTCATATAATGATGGCAGTCGAGGGTTACAGATTGTAAATGATATGATTCAAAGTCATTTGTAGTGATATAAATGCATTCCTGCCTTGTCTTCATCTAAAACGTACAAGGATACTTGCTTCAGAATACATAATTTTGGTTTGAGTCGTTTAATAGATATCACTTCTGCGAAACGTAACAACCTTTTTAATAGTTACTTCAAATGGTTTTTAGATATCGACTTCACATCCCTTGTCACTAAAGTGACGAGCACTTTCGCTATTGAAGACGTTTTCTTCTCTCGGTATCAAACTACTTGGAATGCACTCAGAAGTACGGTCAGAAACCCTTATCTCTGTTTGTTTTGTGTAATGCTTTGCTACGTACATGTGGATTGGAGATAACACAAAAAGAAGTCTTATTAACCTTAAACTGCCTCAGTGAGCAATTCATCCGGTAAAATATGATCGATCCTCTTTAGGATAGTGATTATTGTGCAATTAATATTCAGAGATACGTCATCACCTCGTGCCTAGATTGAGGAAGAAAGGTGATTTCCAGAATACTTCGCGCTTAACATTTCTAGCTGATATGCTTTCCGTTATCACGGCGGCAATACTGATGATTTCCACCTCTTCCTTCCTCCTTTTTCAGAAAAATCGATTCAAGTATGCAAGCATTCTTTATAAACTGATTTTAAAATATTTTTGAGGTGCAAGAAGTTGGCGAGGAATCCCTGCCATTATGTTAAACCTTTTGTTCTCGCTGTATTAAATGAGCATCTGTAATTAAATAAAACGAAACTGATGAAAGTTGACGAAGATACTTTTATCCTACAGAAAGTTCTATATGAACTAAATAGTTCAGCAATTAAGTCCCTGACTTTAGTATGAACAAGTCTCCTGGACTCTTGCTTAGTTGGCTTGCTGATTAGTCTTACTAAGCATAAAACCATGGTTTATGTCTTTGTACTGATCAACTCATGAAATCTAGCACGGAAACAAAGTCCCTGGTTGTTATTTGTTATCTTGGCTTTAGGTGATTATATCTCTATATTACACCACAGTACATATAATTTAACATTCAGCGTATTAACGTGAAAAGTTCCATAAAAGTTTATGTATTCATTCAACCCTAATTTCTATATCTTTCGCTTATTTCAAATTTAATAATCAACTTTAGTATTCACCTATCTGTATACCAAACCAGACGACGATAATTTTTTAAGGCTTCACGAACTTACTCTTTGGACATTACCCTCTCTTGTCTTTGTTGCAATGCATATGAAGGTTAACTGTACCAGTAAATAGTCAAAGTGTCATTTTTGTCACTGGTAAATCTATTTTATGTTTTATTCTCTACAATGAATTTAAGCTGAAGCGGTTTTGGGAAATAAAGTATCAGAAAAATGCGTAGATTTGTAAGAATAACAGGAGTTAAAGTCATTTTATAGATTTATACAGACACAACACTTTTTTCCCCCTAGTATTTTCAGTAATTACCTCCCACCTTATTTATATTTTACATTCCAGGTCGGTTACACACGACGAAAAATGTTTTATTTATATACATTGTGGGGAAGTTAGTCTTTTACTTTTTCGATGTACTGGATAGGTGGGTTAGTAAAGCAAAATAAAAGTCCATATGCTTTTTCAAGTAATAAATATATTTTTCATATAAGTTTCGGATGCTTTTATTTTTTGCTTTTCTCACATGTTGACAATAAAACGATTAAACTATAAGAAAACTACGGAGGCAGTTGAAACGCATTCGAATAGGGAAATGTTATTTCTTTCAGTATTATCTTGTCGTCGCATTACGCCATCATAAACACATACAACATACTATCAATGATAGTAGTTGGAGTTCAATGTTAATATTCGTCCCATAAATATTCATCTGTATATGCATTAATACGTGGTGTCTCTTATAAGGATGAATATGTATGTTTATCGATACATGAAGTGCTGAGGCACGATGTAAAGCCAAGTTTGCTTAAACGCATTTACATGCATAATATTTTTCAGATGCCGGGAATCCAATATGACTGTTTATCATAAGCGTCGATGACCAGTTATTTTAGGAATAGACACGATATACTTAACTAGGCAATACAAGTAATTACTTTGACAAATGGTTGCGGCAAAATTTTATTTAGGATTGCCTAGATAACACTGAATCCAATCCACTGTACAGAACACTTGCTTATAAGCGTTACTATTCTCCAGATACATATAAATGTCAATGAGTTATATTTCATGTGACCTCCTCGTTCTCAATCTTGCCACCTCTTGTAATGTCAAACATTGAATAATATGGTCCAAATATGTTACTTTCCACAGCAAATCACTGTGAAAATTTAATATTAGGCTTTATATAACCTTGTCACTCTTACTGCTGACTGCATATTTTGCAAATGCCTGATTGCATTCTAAACAGAACCAGCTGACTCACGCAGCTAGTCAGAAATAGTTCGAAAATTTTGACACTCTGAGGTCTTTCAGGGACAAGCGAAATGACTGTTTAGTGCTTATATCAATTTGATGTACCTGGCGAGCATAACAGATTAGTTCGAGTGATTTTTAACTACTCATGTCAGTTAGTCAATGGCTCTTATTGTTTGTAGAAACATTATTATTGATTAAGATGGATAACTCCTAATGAGTACGTGTAAAAATAGTCTTTCTGGGTCTCAGGGGTCGTTAAGGGTCAAAATTCAAGGTTACAATAGGAGGAATTAGCAGAATTCAGAATCATTTCAGAAAATGAGGTAAATATTCTGATGACTTGTCATTCGCTACACATCAATCAATCTTTTCAGGAAAATTTTGTGTTCTAATTACACTGTGACAGTTATTCTGTTTCCTTATACTCATTCAACGTTGAAACAGTCCAATGTGCATATTTAGATGTAATGTAAATGTAATCCCTGATGAAAAGTTTCTACATCATAGAACACAGAGGTAAGTTTACTAGCATTCATATGGAAGCCAAAAGAAAAATACTCTGGTTATGGATTCTTATTTGCATAGAAAAACGCACAAAATAGATGATAACGTTTACACAGAGATCTGCAAATAGTATTTCACTGCTCTTTAAGGTCAGTGATATAAACTGACTCTATGGAACATAGAAAAGAAAGACATATATTTGTATATGCATTTAACAATTTCCACCTTTGTTCCACATTGTTATTACAAGTGAGCAAAATATTCAGGAAATGCATATGTTCAAATTAAAACAAAGCTTGTGAAATATTTAGAAAAATACAACAGTTTTTAACATGAATTTGCAGATCTGACCGTAAACGTATAAAAATTCAACAGGATGTTTCTCCATTTCCAACTCAGTTTACTGCTCCAGTTCTAAATAAAACTACAGCATGATTGTCCAAGAAAAAATAGATAAAATGCTTTGCTTCATGTGATATATACCTGAAATAAATTGTTTAAGAAAAAAAGCTGCAGAATAAGAACTTAATTCCATTGAGAAGTATGAATACAGGCAGAAGTTTATGTCAACTTGTTCAGATGTAAAACAATACGCTGAGACTCTTAAGAAGCAAACACATCAGATTTTCATTAAATACTAAGATAAGTTTAAAGGGAATAGAACTCACCAAACTTATGTTTTAATGTAGTGACTACGAGGATGGAAGACAAAATAATAAATTACCCAAGTAGCTACCTTCATATGGCTAAACAACCTGAATGCGAAATCACTGAACTTAAAATTAATTGCGGCATATGCAGTGAAAAGAGAAACAGAGTGAGACAATATGCAGTCTAGCATAACTGTCTATCAATTCAAATCGCTGCAATTCGTGATAGAATAAATAATTAAGTGTTACGCAAGAGTAGCATAACTAGTGATATGAAGGTAATGGTAGTTGTTGCTATTGTTAAAAGATATAACAAGAATGAAAAGGGAGGCGAAGGGGTTGAAGTGCGTGAAACAGTGATTTGGAAGATGAGGAATAAGCACACCTGCACGAATAGTAGCAAGTTTAAGTCGAATTTCGGACAGTTTTATATCTTTTATTTACTTTTGGTAATGATTCAAAATACGATTTACGTAAACAGCGGTGTGGTTACCTGAACAACCGACTTTTGGGCTAATGATGCTTCAGTTTGAGATTATTCAAAAAAGTTTCCAGACAATAATACAATTTTATGAAATGGTGAAAAACGTCACAGGTAACTCAGGTAAGGAATAAAGAAATGATTGTTCCGTGCATAAATTACGCTATTCCCACCAAAAATCTGCTTGTGTTTTCAAGCGATGTGTGGCTTCGGAGATATTCTTAAGAAATCACTATTAACGGTTAGTTGCCAAGTAAATTTGATCATCTAACAGTGGGTACTGAAGCTCAAAACTACAAAGAAAACAGTTCTGAAAATTATGCACATTACTGTTGGACACGTTTTACCGTATTGAGTCGAAACATGTTCAACTTAAGCGGTGAAGTTGTTTCGTTCACCAAAATATGATGAAATAATTGAAAGTTGTGAACCGCTGCTTCATAAATAATTGTCATCTTTAGCAAAGAATACGCGCTGAGATTAGCCTCACTTTCTTCCTCATACATTAGGGAACTTGTTAACAGGAAAGTTGACATTTCAAGCAAATAAAAGCAATCATAGTAAGGAGTTCATTAACAAAACAAAACCAACACTGTATGGAACACAAGACTTTCAGAATACCTGTTTCAACACTATACTATTAAAACACTATCCCATTGGAACTATTTTATTTGTAGGAAGTCGAATTCCCCCCATTTAGTATCCAAGACAATGTCGTTATAACCAGTGATTTAAGCAAGATGAAGGTAATATTTATTCCCATGCCGTCTTGCATCTAAATAGGTTCAGTGACATTGCTATTGATTATACGGGGAAATGAAACCCCTGACTATTCAAAACTTAGCATATTTTCATATTTAGCAAAGTTAACAATTAAAAGGCACTTGTTTCACTTATAAATGCGGAAAGAACAGCATTTTGTAAGTGATTTGAAACCTTGCAAGAACCTCCAAATAAACAAATTTACAATGATATCTGTCTAACTACTATTGCATCCATTTGATCAGCATGATTTCTGCAGGCAGATTTATGATCAACTGGAAAAATTGTGAAACCTACAAACTTCCAGTTCTATGGTTATCGCAGATGAAGCAGAATGAACAACATATACTTGTGGAGAAATTCCAACAATAATCAGTAATATACCGTTTAAAAGGTGAATAAGTTGGTTACGAGCTGACTGATTAAGCAGTCACTTATAACATTGGGGAAAATTTTTATCGTCAATGCATTGACAAGTCTACAAAACTGATGATGATAATGACAACCGGTCCAATGTACTGTTGGGATAAATTGGATTTATACTGGTTGATGACTGGAGGGGAAATGGAAATTTGAACCAGAGACTAACCTATTTCCAGCCCGATGCTCTACCAACTGAGCTACGATCACCATCCAGTATGACTACTATTCTGCCAATCTACTGCTATCCCAGATAGTTAAATGATAAACTGGATTGCAAGATGAATTTCTAGAATACCTAGAGAATTACGCACTTAGTCCTTAACACATGATACTCAGAAAAAGCTAGTACTAATCATTAGATTTTAACTTTGAATTCCATCTGTATCAAGTTTGTCAATAAATGTTTTGGGGACTCAGTTCAAAAGTTTCTAAAGTTAACCACATGGTCTGAAACCAATGAGTGGGTGCCAAAGATATTGGTTTAAGTCAGAGTTGTTGACATAGCAAATCAATTAGAAAGCACACTACTTTCTATATTTGGCATTTTTAAAGATGTATATTATGGTTCTGTAACTAAAATGAAGAATGATGATCATATGGTATTTATAAAACTAGACAAAGTTTCTGGATTTTTATTAGTGAATAAATCAGACTAAATACAAACTATAACGTTAATATTTTATAATTCATTCAACGGTCAAAGCTGGATATTTGAATAAACATAGTTCCCAATTTGAAAAGCCAGCTAACAAGACAAATTAAATAATTCGTCAACCATCAGTTTAACAAACTGTAATAGTCCTAAGCCAAAAGACTAAGGCCTTCCATTTAGGCAGTCAGATAAAGCTGAATAAAATTGATATTTTTTCAATCGCCATGATCTTCACAATAAGTTTACCATGCCACAAACGGATACAATTGCTAAAATACAAGCTGGAACCGCTCCGGAAAAGGTATAGAGTTATGACTTCAACAGAAGTTTTACATCCATACAAAAAGTTGACTGAAAAAAATATCCTACCAGTTATTGCTTTCCCATGAGTAACACTCTCTATTTACTGACGTCTTTTTGGAAAAAAAACTGTAATTATCACCACTAAGTACTCAAAATCTATCTCCATACCAAAACTTTAGTGGGATTATGCACTATATTCAGTTCAAATCCAAAAACAAATTATGTCTTCGAATCCATAAGGTACTTATTAGTAAATCTATGTGACCGAATCTTGCTGATAACTTTTTTTAAACCCGGGTTAAGCGAAACCAGCCACCGTAAACAATGAAGCAAGATTTTATACATTTATTGCTGAGTCGAGAAATAAGTCTGCGCAAGTACTAAACGAAATTCATGCTACCAATGGACTGATAATAGAGCAGGAGGTTAGTAATAACGTTTACCTTCTGCATCTAGTAATCATACTAAAATATGATGGGATATATTTTTATCGCACGGAAACATAGAGTGAGTAGTGTTTCAACCCATGCATCTTTAACCTGATAAGCCATAAAACGGACTGGTCAGAACACCATATAACAAGAGATGGGAAACGCTGCACAGTAGTTGAGCTAGGACAAGGACTTGTTACTATTGAGTAATGTCATCAGGAAAACGATAATCCTGAAATTTTTACTGTCATTTATTCCTGAATAAATGTCCTCACAAATATCTAGCAATTCAACTAAAACGAGATCGCTCTTTATCCAGCTAACATTAAAAAGAAGCCAGAAAATGAAAAAAATGAATTACCAAGTAAAAGCCTTACTTAGGATCATTTCGTACTACGAAACTGGTCTTGCTGTGTAAGATATTGTTCAGTAACATGAAAGTACATTACAGACAAATAATCGACACGCCATTTGAAATTACGAATGCTGGTTCACTTGTATTAGCAAACGTAAGTAATTTAGCATGGCCAAGGCTTGGAAAACGACTTGTATTCTTGGACACACTTTTAAGAGCCTATACTTAAAACGATAAGCTAATCGGTCTGTTAGTCAGCTTGTATCAACATTGAGCCTGGAAATACCGCAAAGGGCTCCAAGTTGCCCCATTTATCATCATCCGAAGTTATGAGGCACAACGGACTGAGACAGTGAAGTAAGAAAAGAAGTAGTCAGAGTAGTAGAAATTCAAAGAAGAGAACAAAAGAGAATGAAATAGTAACTAAGTTCGGCATTATGGCCACGACAGCATAGGATGTGGCTGCATCTGCATCATTCAGATTGATTCTGGGGCATATCATAAAGAATCTCTAATTACGAATTTCACTTACCACACCTATGCTCCAAATTATCTCTTCTGACAAAAATTGTTTATTTCTATTACAATATACCTCTATTGATGTCTCAGATTGTGTCGCATATGTACTTTTCCTATAAAATACAGGTGCAGTTAATTTTGAAAAGTACTCACTTTAGGATACTAAACATTCTGTGAACTATGAATTGTGACGACATATTGGTCACCAGCTGGTCACCAACGCTTATGTTTAGAATTTATACATTTTATCCTTATCACCGCCAAGACAAAACTATTAGCCTTTAGTAGAGACTCTTTCGTTAAATATAATGAATAAGTAGTTAGTCACTTTGTTGATTTAAAAGTTGTTGAGGAGGCCTAATTTAGTGGCCAGCGTAACATAAGACAAAATCTTACACTTTCACTTCACTTGATAACCGAAAAAACAAACTGTTGACTGAAGTGAGACTAATCTTCTTATCGATTAACTAGGACGACAGTAGATGGATAACTTGACGAACCTTCGTGCTTCCATAAATCGTAACTTCCCTGATTATTCCAGAAACGAAATCTGCACCTGCCAATGGAAGCTATTTCGAATGATGTCATGATTAATCAGTAGTAATTATGAAATCCGACATGAAGTTTAGTACAAATATTATCATTCGACTTACGTGCCAAATTGAGTTCCGACTACACAGTGCCAGGTTGGTAAATACTTTCGATCGAATTCTTTTTTCATAAAAGCTGCTATGTCCTTTTCTAGTGTGTACTTTTTCAGCGCCATAGCACACATATCCACAGCATCCTGTTGCATTTCGTCAGGCATATCAACACTTTTTATGACAGCTTTCAGTCCCGGCATTTTTTTCAAGTTTTTGTCCTCTTGAGAAAACTTCAAGTGTTGTTAAGTTACAGACGATAAGATAGTCTTATTTAAAGTAGAGGACTAACACCACCTGATTTGTTCCAAATAAAAACTAAGCTATTTATGCGCATACATTAGGGTATTTGATTGTATGAACTTGTTTGTGGGTAGAATGAACCTTACTTTTCACAAAACGGACGAAGCAGTAGAAGTTATGAACATTAATTTGCACTTAATGTAAGCACATCACAGTACCTTGGTCAGCAGAAAATTAGTCCGAATATATTATTTGGACTGTCTGTCCTTCTACTACATGTCTACTCACGCGCAAAACAAAGTCGAAATTTGATTTATCAGAAAGGTTGAATCAATGAAAGAAAAGGAAATTTTATACTTTAGTATAAAACCATTTTACTGTGTTTTACATTTTGTGTGGAATATGATACAGCAATATGGTTAGAGCATCGAAAGTGAAAAATATATTAATTGGGTGCTTAAAAGTTCTGCCTCTCCCCTTTCAACTTACAAATGACTGAAATTTCCCTAAAAAATTTCTAGAAAAATATTGATGGATTAGCGTAGGACTAACTGCTAAGTAATATTCCATGCTAGTTGAGATTTTAGAAATCATTGACCTACAGATAATACTCTCTTTTTGTTCTTCCATTATAACTACATAACTAAGGAAAACTGTCGCAAACTTCATATCATGGATCAAAGGTGGAACACGTTTGATGACACTAAAAGAGAATTTATAGCAAAGTATGAAAGTAGGTTCTTTTTACAAAAACTTGAAACATGCGGGTAGAGCAATCAGTAACTGGTTTTGAGGTAGATTTCCTGTGCAGTTGATACTGCTTAAAGTGAGAATAGATGGCTGTCCAGATCAATGAATGATGTCAGGACTGTGTGCTTAAGGGATAAGAGTTTGAAGGTACAGACAGTCCAGTTTCATATCATTGTCTTATAAGGTAATGCTAGACTTGATGTCTAAAAGCGGCAGTAAAGATCTCAAACGTGATAGTAAATAAACACTAATGAGCGACTTTAAACTATAATGAATGGCTGTCTACTTGTGTCTTATCGTGAGTAGCCTCCTAAAAGCATCAAGTTTGTGTTTTAAGGTTTAGACGATAAAAATTCGTCACTGGTAGTATAGTTTTTCTGAGTTAGTTTTAAAGATAATCCATCGACTGTATATTCACGGTAGGTTGTTGAGAAGATCGAGAAGAGCAGTTACCATCTTCAGTTGTTATCTTGGGATGTACAAAACTCATTTATGGCTGGTTCTGTCTTTATATGGATTAGAGAAACTTTTGAAAAATTTCATTAATTTTTTTAACAAGTAATGAAAAGAATATATCCACAGGTAATAAATGATAATCTGAAAATGCCTAACTAATGTTTTCATTTCCATGTTGTTATTAGGGAAATGAACCTCGCCTGGTTAACTAGTTCAATAGTTACTAGCTGGTCCTAAGCCAGGGTGAAGAGGAAAGGTTGGGAATAGGACTAGCAACCCTACCCCCTAAAACCAATTCAGCCGCTCGAGAAACTTCAAAGCACAAACAAATCTCAAAAACAAACTTATTTCTCACTGGAATCAGAGAGGCGAAAGAACGCCGGCTGGGTAAAGCATTTGGTCGATGTGCTTCTCTTCCTATCGAAAAAAGCGAAAGTAAACGTGGGATTATGAAACGTCCGCACTATTTTTGAACCTAGCAAGACTACACAGATTGCAAACCAGATGAGAAATCACAGCACCGAAGTGCTAGGAATTTGCAAAAGCAGGTGAAATGGAAGTGGACACTCCGAACTGTCAAATGGACAATCATTATTCTACTCAGATACGGTCACCCAAACGACAACCACGAGCACACTGAGGGAGAAACTATTATTAAGTCCGCAAGAGTAACAAAGGCTCTCATGCAGTGGCAACCAATCTCCTCCTGTAGGATCATGACAGCAAAGTTCAACTCAAAATGAAGGAAAGTCACAAACATACAATGCCAATGCTACGCATCAACAAATAATGCAGATGAAGAGAAGAAAGAGAAATCCTACAGACAACTGCAATCAGTAATGGACAAGACTGCACAGCAGTTGGCAACATCAAAATTTATTCTGATAGGTGACCTGAGTGCCAAACTGGGAGTGGACAACACAGGAAGAGAACTAACCACGGGTCGAGAAGCGCTAGGTGAAATGATGAGGGAGGATGGAGAGATGTTTGCAGAATTCTGTGCATTCAATGATTTGGTGATTGGAGGCTAGCCACTGTGTTCAGGCACAAGGATATCCACAAGTCAGCGACATGGATTTCACTAGACACCAGGCCACACTGAAAATCAGACTGACATCATACGGTTGTGAAGAAAGTGGAGAAGCAGCCTATTTGACTCAAAGTCAAGAAGAGGAGCAGATGTAGGTTCAGACCACTATCTAGTGTAAGGAACCTAACTTCAAAATCATGTTGAAAGTCGTCCCAGAAGTTGGTGATAGACCACAATTCAAGTTCAAAACCCACCCAGAAACTGAGATGAAGGAGGAAACTACAGAAGACATCTTCATGTTAGTCATCAGGACAAAATGGGAGACATTGAGTAACATCCCTGAAGGAACCTGTGTGGATGAACACTGGAAGTCTTTGAAAACTATATGGAAAGAAAGCTGCACAACAGTAATAGGAAGGAAGCAGAAAGAAGATAAGGAGTGGATCTCGATGGACACATGGAAGCTGATGGAGCAGGGAGAGTAGAATTGTGAAGCAGAGGAAAAACCAGTGCAAGGATGAATGACAAGAAGAGAAACTGAGTACAACTTATAAAACACTGGACAAAGAAGTGAAGAAGAGTGCGCGCAAAGACAAGACACTTCCGCAACATACTGGGAAGCGAAGCAGAACAGGCTGCATGTAGGAGAGACAGAGACCTGACAACAATTATCTGGGAGGGAAGAGATCAACACAGATGAAACCAATAAAAGATGATGAGGGAAATTTAATTACCAAAGAAGAGAAACAAAGGAAACAATGGGCTGACCACTTCAGAAAGCTCTTGAATCGACCACCACCTGCACTTCGTCTAGAAATACCACCCGCAGCCGCAGAACTACAAGTGAACATAAATCCTCCAACAAAAGTCGAAGCCCTGAGCGCCATAGAGCTACTGAAATGTGGGAAAGCAGCAAGACCAGATGGAATCCCGCCAGAAGCACTGAGAGCAGACACAGAGGCAACAGCAGACATGCTCACACCACTATTGCAGAAGCTGTGGAAGGAAGTTAAGGTACCTGGCGACTGGAAGAAGGGCGACCTAAGTCTTTGCAAGGACTGACACGGAACCACGCTCCTGTCCACCCAAAGCAAAATATTAAGCAGCATCATCCTGCAAAGACTTATGGATGCGCTAAATTCAAAACTACGACCGGAACAAGCTGGTTAGCTAGATTCAGGAAGTACAAATCATGTGTGGACCAAATTACAACAGTGTAGAATTGCAGTCAACCTTCCTCCTCAACTTCATCGACTTTGAGGTCTTGACAGCATCGACCGACAAGTAATTTGGCAGTTGCTTTAACACCACGGAGTACCACAAACCTTTATCAGCCTCATTCAACAACTATATGAAGACGCCTTATGCCAGCTAATTCACAATTGGAAGCTCAGTGATGCTTTTGAAGTGAAGACAGGAGTGAAACAAGGCTGCCTACTATCACCCATGATATTTCTGATTGTGGTGGACTGGACCATGCAACAAACAGTGAGAGGCGAGAAGAGGGGGATACGTTGGCTGGACCGCGAAGAAGAACCTAGAAGATTTTGCTTTCGCCGCCTATGACTTGTGTCTAGTGTCACACAAACTCGACGATCTACAGGCAAAAACTAACAAGTTTACAGAAGAGGCGAGACAGTGAAGACGGGACTTCAGTTGAACGTAGAGAAGACAGAGGTGATGAAGACACCCAACCAACAACAAGTGCCAATTACCATCAACTGGAGGAACTTAAAGGAAGTTTTCTCTTTCATCTACGCTTACCTATGCAGCATGGTTTCAACTACATGAGGTGGCACCGATGAGGATGTCAAAGCCAGGACTGGAAAATCAAGAAAGGCGTTCATTAGTCTGAAACCAGTGTGTAGGTCTTCTGCACTCAGCTTGTGTAACAAGATTATGATTTTCAACACTAATTCAGTCAAGTCAGTGCTTCTGTAGGGTTGAGAGACTTGGCGTGTTACGAAAAGCATTTCCAACAAACTACAGATATTCATCAACAACTGTCTACGCTGGCTCATCACGGAAGATAAGATGGCCAGAAAGAATAAGCAACAAGGAGCTCTGGGAACGAACCAACCAAGAACCTATCACCCAATAAATATGCACTGAAAGGAAGTGGAGATGGATTGGATTGGGCATACACTGAGAAGGCTGACTGGGGACATCACGCGTCATGCCAGGCCCTCCAGTGGAACCCAGAAGGGAAACGATGAGTTGGGCGTCAGTGCTGAGGGTTACATGGTGGAGATCGTGTTAGAAAGAAATGAGAGCTTCTGGGTAGTCATGAAGCCAGGTTAAAAAGATTGCAGAGGATAGATTGGAATGGAGACGTGCCACTGAAGCCCTATGTTCAGCTAGGAACCTAAGGGGCAGATAATAATAATATTGGGTTAACGTCTTTTATAGATCAGTTACTGATTCTACATCCACTTCCTCACAGATAACTGTGTACTCACTTTGTTATGAATTTTTTATATCTTGATGTAAACTCACACTGAAGTTGTCAAATATTGTCATACTTCTTACCTAATTTCCGTTTCAGTATTACGTTCCTGGCCAAATGCTACTAACAGTTATCGTTTATTGTATATTGACATTTGTTTACCGAATAATACCCACATTGTATTTAAGTGCAATTGTACAGCTGCAGAGTATGGTATCGCTGAAAATAAATTACTTATCTGAAGTCTTTATTCTTCTATGGTACATTGGGAATATTTAAATACTCAATCTTGAATGAACAATTTGTCAGTGATAGGTATCCTAATATCTAATGTTTGTTGCTAATGGTGTACCGTGAGCTATCTCTACTGCTGTGCTAGATGAATCGACTTCCCAATTAGTGCTTGTTGTAAGTTGTTGAAGGTAGTTTGCAGGGATCTATTGATCTTACCTTCTTATCTGCTGTTACTCATCTTTGGGGCGTATCCTCATCTTTAAGGAAATCTTGTTTTCTCATGGATTTAATCAACTAACACTATGGTTTACAACCAAAGATATTTCTATTAAACATTCTCTACAAAACGTCTTCACCTGCAGTTTCATTCGGGAAGCTTCTTAGTTTATTTTCTTAAACTCTGATTATTTATG